GTGATGATGTGAATGATTGCAAGCCATTGATGATAACATTCATTTCAGTTCACATATGTCCATGTTCCAAATGTTGGAGTGCATATTTTCTGTTGCCAATCATTCGTCTTCATCTTCGTAAAAGTGTTGTGAATGGTTGAACGATGAGTGCTTTCATGTGCCCTACGTGCCGAGATGAGGGCGCACTTACGTGCGTGATGATGTGAATGATTGCAAGCCATTGATGATAACATTCATTTCAGTTCACATATGTCCATGTTCCAAATGTTGGAGTGCATATTTTCTGTTGCCAATCATTCGTCTTCATCTTCGTAAAAGTGTTGTGAATGGTTGAACGATGAGTGCACGAGAAAGAAGGTCACTGAGTGAAAACGTCAATCTCTCATGCATAATTCATTCACCTTATCACCCACAACTTTACATGGAAGCTTTGCAATCAGAAAGAAGAAACATAAGAAAACACGTCTGCGATATAAAACGAACGTTCGCCATAGCACACGAAATCAAATTAGCATCAATGATGCACATAGACACGATGGACGTTAATGACACCGCACACTCGACGATGAGTGGCCCGTTTAATGAAAAGACGTGCATGTCGACTACACTTTGCTGTCAGCTATATGAAATCGAGCTCTCACCCGTACTCGGCAACCGCTTTGACAACAGGAAACAACTCGACGCAAAGGAAGTAGAAAACAGTCTGCGAAACTCGCACAACCGCTATTCACACGCCATGCCAACTCCTGTCCCCATCATCATCGACGACATCGTCGTCACCACCATCACCACCTTAGTCATCATCATCGTCATCATCATCATCATCTTCATCATGAACATCATCATCATCATCTTCATCATCATCATCATCATCATCATCATCGCACATCATCTTCATCATGTTCATCATCATCGCACATCATCATCATCATCATCATCATCATCATCATCATCATCATCATCGTCACCGTCATCATCACGATCGTCAGCAGCACGATCGTCAACATCATCATGAACATCGTCTTCATCATCATCGTTGTCGTCACCGTCATCATCATCGTCACCGTTATCATCATCATCATCAACGTCAGCATCGTCGTCATCAGCAACACCGACGGGTGGCTGTGCTCGGTCACCTCCTGTCGTCGTCCACAGCGCCTGCCGTCACGATCCCCCTCCTTCGTCCTTCTTCTCGTCTTCATCATCGATCTCCAGAGGTCCGGTGCCTAACCAATCTAGTCGTCCGGCGAGCTCAGGAGATGTCAATGTGGCGTCGTTGTGGAACGACACCCCACACGAAACCCAGTCGGGGATGTACACCGGAGGGTCGACCAATGTCATGGGGGGGCTTCCCCATTTTCTCCGTTACTACGTTGACACACTGCAGAACATGGCGGCGCGCGTCGAACGAGCGATGCAGCGACGCAATGAGCGTTGGTTTCGCAATGAGCTCCACGAGATGGGACGCCTCAAAATGCGAACGGAGATTATCTCCCTCCATCCGCATGATCCACATGGCGGCAGACAGCAAAAGGCGCATGCAGTCTGCCACGTTCCTCAGCCTCTCGTACGATATCCGCCTGCCGTCTACCCCCTCCCCCGTGTCAACAACATTCGTGAAAGCTCCCACCAGACGCTGCGTTGTGGACTCCTGATACGACGCCATTTCGTCGTCCTCGTGCCTGTCGTGTATGACGCCACCTACATACCAGATGGGGAGCTTCATATGAAGCCCCAGAGTGTTATGGACGACCGCCGGACTCACACATACCCGCCAGTCCTCTCCAAACCAGATGGCACGGGCGAGGTTTGTGGTGACGTGGTTCACCACATAGCCGTAGGAGCAGTGGTACCCGCGCGCGCGATTGGGGGACTTGAAGATCCACCCATGGATAATGCGCAATGCTATGGTCTACACCGTCGAAGCCCTCTCCTTCGCGGCCCCCAACTCCGACACGTCTTCCAGCTTCTGCTGAGGGATCGTGGCATTCGGGAGGACAACGCTTTTTCTGATCTCTGGCGGTTTCACACCCTTCGCGATGGCGATGAGGTGCAAGTGCATCTCCTGGAGGAGCTCGAACATCCCATGCCCCTCCATCTCGTTCCAGAAATGCAGATCATCCACCCACAGTTTCGCTTTCGCCTCCAAAGCGGCCATATTTCCGGATCGCCTCTACCTGTTAATGAGGGGATCGCCGTCATCAGCATCATCACGACTGTCGCCACCGCCCCCCCCCGCGCCTATCGTCGATGTACCAACAACGGCTCCCACCGCTGCGGCTTCCTTTGTGGGAATGCGCGTCGCAAGCTGTCCCCTGACTACCGCATTCACCCCCGCCCCTTCATCCCTTCTCGCCTGTCCCGCCGTGGGCGTCGCTGGGCTAGAAGGCGCCCTCATTGGCGGGTGTTTACCGACGTCCTAGGCCGCCTGCACGTCCTTCAACGGCACAGCGCCACGCATGACAGTGGTCGTCGGCTGGCCATGCTCCTCCCTGGCAGCAACACCGCCTCCCACGTCGCCGGCCGCCTCACCCTTGCCTTGCGCAACCCCGTGACCCCCATCTTTACCACCGTCGACGCCTTCCTCTCCGCTCACCATTCTCACGTTCGACATGTCACGCAAGGTCCCTTTCCTCCCATGAAACGTGTCCACCTCCGATTCAAAATCGTCGTCCTGTCCGCTGCTGGCCTCGGTAACCCACTCTTCCCGCGCGGACCTCCCGATCACCAGAGCACCGCCGCTTGATGCCTTGGGCTTCTTCGCCTGATGCCTCCCCTTGCTTCACGACGCCAGCAGCTTCCGTTTTCGGGGAATCCCTCTCCCTTTTCCCCTTGCCAGAGTTGCGAGTATTCGTCATCGCCGAGAAGACAGACAATGATGATGGCGATGACGAAGAGATGACAACCACACAACTGCCACAACGATGCCCGATCGAACGGTGGGAAAGATGACCGGTCGAGAAGAAGGAAGGACGAGAACGATGGCGGCGAGGGAAAGCCTGCGCACATGGAGTCCAACCAGGAATACGACGTCTGGCGAAAACGACGTCTAACGAGAAAGATGCCGGCGAGACACACAGTGCGCGAACAGGAGTCCCAACGTGAAGATGGCGTCTGGCGAGAATGATGGCGGCGAGACGAACAATGCGCGAACAGGAGTCCCAACGTGAAGATGACGTCTGGCGAGAGAGATGGCGACGAGACACACAACATGCGAAAAGGAGTCCCAACATGAAGATG